TGACTTAAGCATTATTCCTGTAGAATAAGCTGACTTGAAACACTGTGATTTCTGATTCCGCAAAACCAGCCCATCTGGATTCTCCAAATGCAGATGATAACAAAGTTCAAGCTGCATGGAGCAGCCAGCCACCCCTCCCACTCACTTAAATACAGCTTCTGATGACATGATGTTTCCCCACTGCTCTATCAGGGTGCAATCTAGAATCAGTTTTCATTGCTGCTAAAATCTGAATCTAATCAGTGTGAATATTTCAGCATACCTAGTTCATATGTTTTGTGTGTGTGTATTTGGCTTCATTTATAAAAATATCCTAGCAGTTAGGGTACACTATCGCATTACTCTCTGTCCTTCATTTGTGGTTTTCCTCATGGTATATTTGTCTTCCAGCATATATGTGAACAAAACACAAATGTCTCATGTAAGATGCATTTATAGCATGCCATTGGACAGTAAGTCTGAATCAGTCTTGTATACAGGGATGAGTAGATGTCATGTTTAATACAAATTTAGATGCTTAGACTGAAAAATGAGACTGCAATATATTTTCTGGTTCAAACAGAAGACTACTTTCATGTTCATCCTTTTTCTTATTTAGTACATTGTATGGATTTCCCCATACTTTTCTGTTTTCTATGTTCTTATATTAAAAAAATAAGTTAAAAATGCCCAAATACAATTCTGTAAAAATGGAGTAAATTCTTGTGACATTGTGACGAAAGTTCTTGCTCTCACAGTTCTTGCTGCTGAGCATAGTTCAAGGATTCCAGACAGCCACTGTCCCCTTGGGCTTTTCAAAACTCGGTAGGCAGCTTTATTCTCTCAAATAGGCTATGTCCCAAGTCTGTAGCCAGAGGATCCAACACAGTCTGCCAGTTGGATTTAAAGCCTGACTGGCATCCTCAGCCATTCTTTATCCTGGGGAGATAAGTTTTTTATTCAAATGGAGGACTGTGGCAAACCAGTAAGATCATACTTTAAATTGGTATAAAGCATCAAGATTCTTTCTACTAGTATTACAATTTATGCTATAAAAAATCTATCAAGATTAACCAGGAATTTATTGTAACTTTATCTGGTCCGTGAGAAGTTTATGTGTCAAACTGGTGCATTTCCCCCCCACTATTTAAATAGGATAGAACTCTTATTTACCCTGTTTATATCTCCCAATAATCTCTTCAATATATGTCCTCAAGATCACTCAGCTGATATTCTTTATGTGTATGCAGAAAGTATTAATCTGTGTTTACTAATAGCCTTTGCAAAGGCAAACCTTGAGGACCTTCCAGAATGAAGCTCCACACTGGCAAGTGCAGACTCACACTCCTAGTGGTCTGTAGTGTCTAGGATTCACTTCTTCTTAATGGTTACCTTGAGTTTTTTCTGACCACATTAAAAAAACACCCTCTCTTTCTTAACTATATCCTGACAGGTCTGCAGAATATCTCTCTAGTTACTCCTCTTATTAGATCTTACATTAAATTATCCCAGATTAATTACAAAATATAGATTATGCAGTCACCCTGTCTACCCTTGTGTTAATCTTCCTGCCTGCTTCTCTCTCTGTCCATGCATGAATCTCTAAGTTCCTTATTAGTGAGGGCAAAGTTAATTACTGTTCTGTAATTGGGATAGAAGCAGAATTTTTGGACTTTTTATTTGTCAACAGTCAGCTGGAGATATTCAACCAACTTCTAACTTAGTATAGCATTTTCACCTCTTCTCCAGGGTAGGGAATAGCATGGGTTTTATGAGTTCAAGTATAGTCATATAGGAAATGTTAGGAAGCAAAAGATAGAAAATTTGCAGAAGGCTAGGATTCATTACTTCACTGTGGCAAATAACATGCAATGTGGTATACAATCTTTGGTCTGTTAATGGAAATTTGACCTGTGTTTTATGTAACAGTGATTCATCTCATGTGGACCGTTGTGTGCTTTATCAGTGTTCTTTGGTAGTGGGGAATTAATCATTTTAACTTTTGGGGCTATGTGAACATTATTCTGCTTTCAAACCTGTCTTTGCTTTGAAAAATGAAGATGTGAACAACTATGCCAGGCATTCTAGTTAACAGAGTCCAACACTGATATGAACAATTTCTTCTAACCTTAAAGGCTAACATCTCTCTTTATATTTAGAAGCTTGTGGCATATTGCAGGATTTACACTCCCTCTTGCTGCTATCTGTATGAGGATACTCGTACATTGTAGTGTTTACTGCACTGCAGTACACTGTGGATCAGTGGCCTTTTGAGTCATACGTTCTTGCTCTTTTGTACAGAAATAACAGCTTCTTTAGACTCCATTTTTGAATACTCACTTTGTCCAGATTTTCTGACCCAGTGTGGATTAAAAATTACCACATTATACAATCACTTTTCAATTCAAGTGGGTCTGGTGCGTGCTAAACTATTTGGTGACAGCTGTGGATACCTGTAATTCCAGTATCGTGCTTTCACCAAAATAATGATAATTTCTGGAATTGTTGCTTTTGACACAAGGAGCATTTGAAAAGTAAAAATTAAATTCTGGCTTGATTTCAGTACATTAAATTGTTACTTAATAATGCCTCTTCTAAAAAATAAGAAGTTACAGGATGATATCAGTGTTGTCCAACAAAATGCAATCCAGAAAGAGCTCAAGTCGAATAAAGTTTGAAAATGAGAGGAGTGGAATCATGCTATTTTATGTAAAAGAAAAAAAAAACCTCCAGGGCAGAAAGCTCAGGAATGTGTACTTGTTGCCTTTTATAAGTCCCTCAGAATTAAAGGCTGGCAAACAGGGGCACTGAATGGTAAGAAATGAAGAGCAAGAAAATGCCACTGCTAATAAGGAAGTCCACAAGAGATACTGAGATGGAGGACAATCTTATTTTCATATTTTTTGCCAATCTGCACTTTGACACTTAACAACTATATTGTAGCAGGATGTTAAGGCATGGATGAATAGTTTGTGTATTTGTGTCATGTATTAGGCATTCAGAAGAGTGTTTGCCATTGGCAGATGCTAGAAAGAACTATCTCTACAATATCTGGCTTATTTACAGGTAGAAAACATTTAATATTTGTGTTCTTTGTCCAGTGCTGCTGCTACCTGTAAACATTTTCATCTTCAGAATGCTACCCCTTCATAATTTCCAAATGTGGGAAATTGACTGGATCAATAAAAAACGGGTTTGTGTTTTGAGCTGTGCCTCTTTTAAGTGTCAAAACAGAAGTGAAAATGGAGTGGCTATATGCAAACAGTAAAAATATTCTTTATAAAAGGTAAGAAATTAACAGACATTACTGAGAAACAACTAAGCCAGTTGTCATATATCAGATAATGTCATTTCACAGAACTTGAAGACAAAGAGTATAATTTTTCTGGAAGCGAGGTAGTGTAGTCACACTGTGGTTGTTTCAGTGGAGAATACGAAAGAAAAAGACAAGAGGAATTTGGCTTGTCTTCTGCTAAAGCCTTTGTGTAATTCATTAAGCAATCCTAATCCAAAATGACAGTCTAGGGCATTTGCTAATGTTTTCATGAGCCAGTGAAAACATAAAGAGGTACTAATGCAGCTGCTCATTTACTCCCCTGTTAATACCCAACTGGATTTGGCTTCATTGAGTTATTAAAGCTGCTGAGCATTCCTCCCATGGTGACATGTTTCTCTCAGTTTTGCTTACATGCTTTCCAGCCAGTCTGGGACTGTGGTTTCACTTGAAGCAACACCCTATTCTAACCCCTCCTGCAAAGACTGTATTAAAACTGCAGACTTCTTCCACAGAGTCCATAAAAATCCACTCCTCTATTACAAAAGGAATAAAAGAGATGTGAATAAAAATGGTTACACAGATATTAAGTATTCTGATAATTTTTAATATTGGGGAGTTTTGTCCTTACAGACTGATTGTACAGAAGTACAGATTGCACATACTGCTTTTTTATTGGGTTTTTGCAATACTTTTGAACAATTTTTGTCTTGTGGACAGTATATAAATTATAAGAATGATGTTGTAGCATCTCAGACACAAATCATATTTCTCCTTTTATCAGCCTTTTTTTAATTAGCTTTTCAAGGACTTGAAATCCATTGTTAAATACTCATATATTACGCTTAAACTTAAATAATATTAAAACAGCACCAAAGCAATGGTAGTTTCTGTGAGAAGCTGCAACTTGTAATTCATCATGATAAATTCACCACAGACAAGTATAGGAAAATTAAAAACAGAGTCATATTGGATTTTTGTCTTTGGAAAATTTATTTTCACCTCAATTGCTGTCATATACTAGATAAGATAACTGAAACCTGCAAGTTGTCCCTGTCCCCACGTTTCAACTCTATATCCTCAATGCTACAGATGCTACTCTTAAGCCCTTCAGTCTACTTGTATTTAGAATACTATATCTTTTTGAAACCGTTTCAGGTGGCAGGTTTCGGCACTGAAGAGAAGGAACTCCGCTTTCGCTTTCTCCCTTTTCCCCTACAATGCGTCATCCTGGCACCTTGCCCAGATGTCAGCCCTGGTGTAGGTGAGGTTGCCACAGCAACAGCACACACTTGGTCACACCCCCTATAGCTACAGAAGTCTCAGTCAGTTTGAAAGTTTTACTAGGTTTTCATTCATCTGCAATGCACTGCCCAGCCATCTGCGTTTAGTCACCCATCCAGTGCTCACAAGCCTGCTGGTAAATGGAGTAATTTTTGGAACTTTCACCTCCATCTTTTGGGATGAAATCTCTCAAGATTAGTCCTGGGTGGTCAGTCAGCTGCCCAACCTGCAGTGAAGAAACCAGCTGGTCTGTCAGCCGTCCCATAGACATGCCAGGCAGTTGGGCAATAACTAAGTTCATATTTAATTTTCATAGAATGTGTAAAGCAATAGTACTGTGTAATTGCAGAAGAATAAAAGTGGAGTTACCGACAGAGCATTTTAAAAGCTGATTTTCTTCCTGTTGAAGCAGCAGGATAAGTTTTTGGTAATACCTAACTCACAATTCTGCTTATTTTTTCAGACATGGAGATGACTTGATTGTGACACCGTTTGCTCAGGTAGGCACAATTTTGCTATATTTCTCACATGATCTTGTAATTTAAAGACTACATGGCCAAACTAGTTGTTTTCTATCATTATTATTGTATAAGATATGTTTGCTTGAAACGAGAAAAATGTCTAAACAGAAAGGCGTAAACTTCCCACTCTCGTTATCTACACCTCTCTTTCTTAAAGCTTTTTGATTATGTGAAAATTAAAGTGCAACAGCACAATAAACACCTTTGATCTCTTTTCAAATACTGTAACAGGCAGTCATAATGAAGACAAATCTCTGCTTTCTGTTATTCTATTACTTTTTATAATTACAATTTCTTCATTTGGTCATATTTTATGCATTAAATAAAATGTGATTTCTAGACATAAGTTTTACCTAGAATACTTATGTTCTTTTGCAAAACCATGTGTTTGGTTTTTCTATTCAGAGTCTGTTTTATAAAATATCACCTCAAAATTCTCTATAATTCAGATCAAGACTTCACAATTTTTCACAATAGAGCTGTCTTATCATGTATGAAAAGTTAATATTGATATTCCTTGAACTCATGATGATAGGTTTTACTCTGAAATAGACAGGAATGAAAATCAATTCAGTGTAATTACAAACTCATATGTGATTGAAGGTGAATGGAAAAAGAAAGGTTGAGTCACATAGCAGTCTCAAATAAGAATAAAATGTGCAACTTTAGTCTCAATATGCAGGTTGCTCTGGTCTAATAATAAGCTGTTAAAAGAATATTTATTTATTAGTTTATTAGATATTTAATTATATTGTAAGCAGATACAGTGCTTATAAAACTGGGAGCAAGTTCTTAATATGAATAATACCATCATCTTTTATTAGCAGAGAAAACATTAAGCAAGGGCATTTTATAAAAATACTCTGAAGTCTCTCAAATATTAAATATACTTAAACAATAATTGAAGAGAAGAAATTACAGAAAAAAATTTTAAAAAAAGTCAAACAACTTCTGGTTTTATTTCCTCAGGAAACAGAAAACCTAACTCTTAAGCACAGAAAAAAATATAAATTTTATGATGCTCGAGCAATCCAGTAATATTTACTATCGTTCCTGTTCATTGTAATTTGATTTTTGTTTACAAATTGTGCCACATAGTTTCCCTAGAACACACTTTTCCTAGGTTCTAGCTTCCCTAGAAAACAGCAAATAGTACACCTCATTTATGGATATCCTTTTCTTGGGGACAAAACACCCTTTCTTTTAAGGGCAGTTCTGTATTCTTGTTGGCATTAATGGATGTGGTTCAGCAAATAGAGCAAAAGCAGTTGAATGCTATGGCTACTTGCACCAAGGTACTGTAACTGATTAATTGTGAGCTTTTCCAGTGCAAAACCCTGTTAGCAGTGATTTAAGTCAACCTGGTTTTATTTCTGTGGAACAAGAGAAAAAGCACTTACACGGTGAATGATCATGTCACATTCCCTGACACAGGAGAAACTGAGATGCAGTTGAGAGAGTGTGCCTAATAGAGGGGAAGTGACATCTGATTAGAGTCTTAGGAAAAACACCACCTTTATCTAAAAAGTATAGAATATGCAAAATCTCATCTCCAAGTGGGGCCTGCTGACAGACGAAGCACTGAGCCTACCCCTCTGAGTTACATTAGCAGTGTTAGGACCTCACTCAGGACTTCAGAAATTGGATGCCATCTCCCAGTACAATGTCCACACATGTCCCAGTACATGTCCACATCATAAAAACTACCACTTTAATGTCTTCCTAAAGCAATATTTTAACATGTAAGTGCATTTTTTGTGTGCATCACAGTGTGAGGAACACATGTTCGAGTTATTTCAAACCATCTCTATTTTCTTCACTTGATCAGGAAGCTTATTTCATTTGATCATGAGCCACATGGTGGTAATAATCCTAGTTTAGCATTTCAGTTTCTTTTCAGCATATCACCATGGTAATGCAGCTGCATTTTCTATGTGGAGGCAGAGTGGCATACTGTGTCCCCCACATAGAAGCTGGTCCTAGGACGTGATAATTTACTATATTTACTAGAATGAAATTTTTTAAGTAAAAATTAAAAAAAAAAATTATCACAAGAATATTATCAGTTGCATTTCCCTATATTCCAATATACAGCAACTGCTGTAATTTAATTATTCATAGAATTTCACTTTACAAAATAATTTGAGGGATTTGAAACTTAAGGAAAAAATCTGTAGGTTTTTAATTACCAAAAAAAAATTCAATATTTAAAATTTGTTTGCAACTGTTTATATATAACTTGATTTTGAAAATATTAATATTTACTTAGAGATTAAGCCTAAAGCAGTTTGCACGTGATGGGTTGCTTTATGCCCACAAATGTAACTCTAGAAATACTAAGCACAAGTAGAACCTCTGTGGGCAGCATTAACTGTCACTTAAAGAAAATTGTAGTGGAAAATTGAAATATTATTTTATGCGCTTCTAAGATAATACACTTATAAATATTAATACCTTTATACAAGAAATCAAGTTGTTTAGATCCATTGTAGCCAATGACCAAACTTTTTGTTTTCACTTATACATTTATTGCAATGTATGTGGGGATGGCTTGTACTTGCAGAAACTGTCAATATATGTGCATTTATAACCATAGAATCATAGAATTGTTTATGTTGGAAAGGATGTCCAGGATCATCAAGTCCAACCATTAACCTAAAACTGCCAGGTCCACCAAACCATGTCCCCTAGCACCACATCTACATGTTTTTTGAATGCTTCCAAGGATGATGATTCCACCACTTCCCTGGGCAACCTGTTCCAATGCAGACCAACCTTTCAGTGAATAAATTTTTCATAACATCCAATCTAAACTTCCCTTGGTGGAACTTGAGGCCATTTCATCTCAGTCATGGGAGACTTCAACCTGCCATATGTCTGCTGGAAACTCCACACACATAAAGGAGGCAGTCTAGGATGTTCCTGGAGTGTGTGGAAAATAACTTCCTGTTGCAGCTGGTAAGTGAGCCTACCAGGGGCGGTGCCTTGCTAGACCTGCTGTTTACAAACACAGAAGGGCTGGTAGGAGATGTGGTGGTCAGAGGCTGTCTGGGGCACAGTGACCATGATATAATAGAGTTTTCAGTACTCAGTGAATAAAGGAGTGGTGTCAACAAAACCTCTACCCTGGACACTGGTTCGGGGAGTCCCTTGGGAATCAGCCCTTAAAAACAAAGAGGTCCAGGAAGACTGAACATACTTTAAGAAAGAATTCTTAAAGGCATAGGAGCAGACTGTCCCTTTGTCTCAAAAGACAAGTCGTCAGGGAAGACGATTGGCCTTGGCTGAGCAGGGAGATTTTGCAGGAACTCATGGAAAAAAAGAGGATGTCTCATCTTTGGAAAAAGGGACAGGCAGCTCAGGAAGTGTTTAAGGATGTCATTAGTTCATTTAGAAAGAAAATCAAAAAGGCAAAAGCTCAGTTAGAACTTATTCTGGCCACTTCTGCAAAGGATAATAAAAAGTGCTTTTATAAATACATTAATAACAAAAGGAGGGTCAAGGAAAACCTCCATTCTTTATTGTATGTGATGGGGAATATTGTCACCAAAGATGAGGTACTTAAATGACACCTTTGCCTCAGTCTTCAATGGTAAGACAAGTGATCCTCAGGGCAACCGGCCCCCTGAGAAGGTGGACAGGGACAGGGAGCAGAGTAGACCCTCTGTAATCCAGGAGGAAGCAGTTAGTGACCTGCTGTGCCACTGAGACACCCACAAGTGGGATCAAATGGGATCCGTCATAGGGTGATGAGGGAGCTGGTAGAAGAGCTCGCCAAGCCACTCTCCATCATTTATCATCAGTCCTGGCTGAGCAGAGAGGTCTCAGATGGGTGGAGGGTGGTCAGTGTGACGGCCATCCAAAAGAAGAGTTGGAAGGAGGATCCAGGGAACTATAGGCTTATCATCCTGATGTTGGTGTCTGGAAAGGTTATGGAGTAGATTATTGAGTGCCATCATGTGCCATGTACAGGACAACCAGGAGATCAGACCCAGCTGTAAGGGTTTAGGAAAGGCAGGTCCTGCCTGACAAACTTGATCTCCTTTGATGACCAGGTGACCCACCTAGTGGATGGAAGGAAAGGCTGTGGATGTTGTCTACCTGGATTTCAGCAAAGCCTTTGACACCCAGCAGCATTCTCTTGGAAAAACTGGCATCGCATGGCTTGGACAGGTGCATTCTTCCCTGGTTTAAGGACTGTTGGAATGGCTGGGCCCAGAGAGTGATGGTGAATAGAGGTACATCCAGTTGGCAGCCGGTCACTAGTGGTGTCCCCCAGGGATCAGTGTTGGGCCCAGTTCTCTTTAATATCTTTACTGATGATTTGGGTGAAGGGGTCAAATCTACCCTTAGTAAATTCACAGATGACACCAAGTTGGGTGGGAGTGTTTATCTGCTGAAAGGCAGGAAGGCTCTGCAGAGGCATCTGGATAGGCTGGATCAATGGACCAAGGCCAATGGTATGAGGTTCAACAAGGCCAAGTGCTACGTTCTACATTTGGGTCACAACAACCCCAGGTAGCACTGCAAGCTGGGGGCAGAGTGTCTGGAAAGTAAAAGCAAAAAAGGACCTGAGGGTACTGGTAAACATGAGCCAATAGTGTGCCCAGGTGGCCAAGAAAGCGAATGGCATCCTGATTTTTGCCCTGTACTGGCACTGGTGAGGCCATACCTTGAGTACTGTGTCCAGTTCTGGGTGGCTCAATATAGGAAGGATATTGAGGTGCTGGAGGAGGTCCAGAGAAGGGCAAGGGAGCTGGTGAAGGGCCTGGAGCACAAGTCCTATGAGGAGAGGCTGAGGGAGCTGGGGTTATTAATCCTGGAGAAGAGGAGGCTCAGGGGTGACCTTATCACTCTCTACAGCTGCCTGAAAGGAGGTTGTGGCCGGGGGTGTTGGCCTCTTTTCCCATGCAACTAGCGATGGATGAGAGGACATAGTCTTAAGCTGCACCAGGGGAGGCTTAGGTTGGACATTAGGAGGAATTTCTTCGTGGAAAGGGTGATTAGACATTGGAATGGACTGCCCAGGGAAGTGGTGCAGTCCCTGTCCTTTCAGGTGTTTAAGAGAAGACTGGACATGGCAATTAGTTGCATGCTCTAGTTGACAAGGTGGTGATCAGTCAAAGATTGGACTTGATGATCTCAAAGGTCTTTTCCAACCTAATTAATTTTGTGAGTCTGTGATTCTGTGATTCTGTGATCTTGTTCTATCACTTGTTACCTGGGAGAAAAGACTGACTTGCACCTGTCTACAACTCTTTTCAGGTAGTTGTAGAGAGTGATAATTTTTTAATGTCACTGTTCCCTGGGAATGCAAATCTGATGGCATATATTTTTATTCCTTGCTGAATGTAAAATATGTAACTGTGCCTCCTTTTCTCCTAAACAACTCCAGCTCCCTCAGCCTCTCCTTGTAAGACTTGTGTTCCATTAATGCTAAAAGCATCTAGGATGCTGGGCAGGTACTGTACATTTCACTCCTGGACCTGAAGAATAAAGAGGACACACAAAACAACAGTCAAGACTCTGCTTTCTGAAAAAAGGACAGATTCATATTATTTCAGACACTAGAAAATTCTGGTTATGTGAATAGTGGTGTACACATAAAGAGACACCCTTGCAGCCTGTCTGGGACCTGAGCATGGGTCCAGCAAGCCTCGTTAGCCTCCACTCATAACTAGCCTTGAGCAACCTTGCAGCTCTGACCACTTCTTTTCTCGGCACCCCTGCTGTTTAATGTCCTGTTATTTCAGATCCAAAACATACCTAAGCTAGCTTCATGTTTTCAGATGGCAACGTGTCTAGTCTACTAACCTGTCTGAAACTGTGCTCTGTGCAGCAGGTACAGAGCCATTCATTGCCATTCAGAACAAGCATATCTGAGAAGCATGGCTATACCTGAGGTCACTCTGAGGAGTCACTTCATTACCTTAATTATGTGCTTCCAATTCTCAGTGCACCTGCATATGCAGCCAGTTTGAGTCCAACAGGGTTTATTGAGTAGGAACTTGAAGCCAGGAAAACTGACTATATTTTTTCATGCCCTGGAACAGCTCTGGAAGCCACATAGATACCTTTCTCTGAAAATACTAGGACACACAAACCATCTCAGCACCCTGACACATGTAAATTGAACCCAGGCAGATTGACAAAAGAGAAGTAAAAATGGACTACAGTCACTAAAATGAGCCTCTTAATAGGCCAAACTTCTTCTTTATGCTTTCCTTTTCCTTCTACCTTCAACTCATACTTTCCTTTTACAATATTTTCATGCTTCAGTACTTTTTCACTGTATTTGAAGTATTCGGTTTTGGATCTCTGAACTCCAAGATCATCTTTCACCTGCTCAGTTCATGCCTGATTTCCATCTGTCTACATGCAACATCTAAATACAATATTTTTTAATGTCACTGTTCCCTGGGAATGCAAATCTGATGGCATATATTTTATTCCTTGCTGAAAGTAGAATATGTAACTGTGCCTCCTGATCTTTGGAAAGAAAAACATAATGAAATTAATACCATCTAGTTAGACAAATGTATTTTTATTATCTTATCTCATTTGGTAATTACTTACAATAGCTTGAACACTGCCAGTTATTATTAACTTCTGAATATTTTCTGTTACAGGCTTTCATTAATTTATTCTTTTCAGTCTCCCGTCTCCTTCCTATCTCCTATATAAATTTAAGGTGCTATGAAAAGAGACCTCTAAAACCCAAATTCCCATTCCTGCTTTCATTATCCCTCTGGTGAGTTCACCAGCCCAGTCTGGGCTGGGAAACAAAAATGGGCAACTTCTGCAGACACACCAGTGGTTAGTGTGTCTGCTTCCTCCCAGTTCCAGCCTGGTTCCAAAGAAATCATGGTTCCTGTCTGACATCAACTGAACTAGCTCTCTCTTGTCAGAGAGGTTCATCTTATTATGCTTATGTGGTACAAAATTTATTGCATTTATCCATCTGCCTTCAGAAGAGAGTGCCTGTGCCACTTATAACAAGAAGACACTCCTCTACTGCATCTACTATATATCTTGCATGAAATTAAGTCCAGAAAGGAAGTAGTTTTTCTTTTCCCAATGTGTAAAGTTTGTAAGAACCTGCAGCCATTTTCCCTCTTCTGAGGTGATACCTTCCACTTTTTCTGGTCTTCTGCACTAAGTCCCCAGATCAACTGTGCATCGTAAAGGTGACACATATATTTTTCCTGGCAGTCTAGACAATCTTATTCCCTTTGGAGTTTGTGGGGACTGAATGGCAAATGGAAGACTCTCTAATTATTTCTTATGCATGAAGTATGAGGCTTGAAAGGGCTAAGATCTTCCAAACTCAAACACTTTCATGGTAATTTTAAAGAAATAAGTAGTATTCTAAAGTGAAAAACTTTCCTCCTTCTCAAGTAAGCTTGCCTTTATCAAACAATGAGTTGTTTATGGGGAAAAAAAAAAGAAATAAACTATGCTCTCCTATTACAGACATGTTATTGTTAAATAATGGTCAAAGGCTGCAGACTAACCAACCCTGGAAACCTTTTACAGTTGTTTTGCAATGCCCTTTCCTTTTCCGTTCAGCACAGTGGAGCAGAGATAAATCAGTCTCACTTGTGCAGACATTTATACTGAAATCACTTTGTCTGTTCCAGGTGCTGGCCAGCCTGCGTACTGTACGGAATAACTTTGCTGCATTAACCAATTTACAAGATCGGGCACCCAGCAAGTGAGTGTCATTTTTTGGCCACTGAAATTTTTGCAGTGATACTTTTTAATGTAAACTGAAAATGACGATCAGATGTTACAGATTTCAGCCTGTGCCACTGAACCTGCATAAAACGTGCATGAGTAATAGCTTATTAATCCTTTGCAGACGTTATTCTTGGTAGCTGAGACAACAGCCCCCTTGCCTTCTAACTGATCTTGTCCTCACATAAACTTGGAGTGGTTTTGTGCAACTATATGATTTTCAATAAATTGGTCATATGTCAAAGATCATTCAAAGATGATTCAGGCACAGTCTGAGTCTTGCAAATGATCCCGAGTAAGCAGACAGCTGCAGTCAGTGAGAGCTGCTTGTATGATTGAACCTAGAACTCTGCCTAACTCATCCAAGATGGTGACATCCCACTCATGCAGAGTAGTTCATAATTATAAATGAGGCATTATAAATATGATCTTTCTCCAATCGTGTTACAGCGTCACAGTGAACATTAATGTTACCTACACTGGCAAATTTCATAGTGCAGTCATTTCTCTCACCCAACATGTGCATCTCTAGAGCTTAGAAGTAATTAGCATTCCAAAGACAGTTGCCTACCATTGCATATGCAATGCTACCAGAAGGTATTTCCATGTCTCTTTGTTGGAATATGCAGACCTTACGCGTTCCCTGCTTTCACTCATCCATAACTCACTTCCCTATGCAGCTGTGTCAGTCCAATATCTTAGAGCGTTCTTCAGTGGGCAAAACATTCCACTGAACTGTTTGCCTTAAAGCTTATTGTGAAACGTAGATGCAAAATAATGTGTGAAATGTACAGAAAAAATAATAGAGTGAAAAATAATTAAAAGAAAAATTTCAAGTCAGAGAACATGGGAAGCACAAGACTTGTTAGAATAATGCTAACTATGTATATAAATCATATTTTAAACTAGGTAGAAGCTCTATGTACGATTCAGCAGGCTTTTAATAAACTTCTAAGTTCCTAAAATATTCCTATCTTAGAGTTCCCAGTCTGCAGAGAGGTTTCAGAGAGGTCAGTTAGGAATTCTCTTCTACACCAGAAAGAAATATCTGCTGTAAATGAACTTTGGCAATGCCAGCGTAGTCCATTCCAAAATAATTTCCCAAGGTTTTTTTTCCCAATATTTTATTTCCCAATATTTTCTATTATATTGTTCAAGGATTTAGTCATCTGTGAGTTTATCAGGCTTAGACCTTTTTTATTTTCTTTTCAATAGACGATCACCAATGTGTAACCAACCATCTATTAACAAAGCAACTATAACAGGTAAGAAGAATTTATTTATAAAACCATCTCACTGAACACTGCATTTTATAAAAATAACCTTATATTGTCTCCTTATATCTGTTTTATTAAAGAGGTTTTGAGTCATGTCATGACTCAAATTGGTGACTTTTAGTGTTCTATCATGTTAGCTTTTGATTTCTGTCTTATTAACCTGGTTTTAATTTAAGTTCTTTCCCAATTCTTTTTTCTTATATAGCAGTATGTGACTGTTTCATGATTACATTCATTAGTACCTTCTTGTAATGAAACCTAGTGGAAAAAACTGGTATGAGGAATGTATCGATCTTTCTTTTTGGGATATAGAGTTCTGTAGCTATAAAGGGGCAAAGTCTTTGCATTACAAGCACTTAGGCACTGAGAAGAAATTATCAAAACTGACTTTTCTGATTTAGGATGGTAAATTCTATTTCTATAACATTTGTAGTTAAGACAAAAAAGTAATTTCCTTTTAAAAGACAGTATTATTTCTAAGGAAACATTAACTAGCACTGTAAATTATGTGAATACTTTGGAAAATTCTACCATACAGCACTTTTGATTATTTTTATGGCAACTTGGTCTTGGTCATCTTTATGGGAATACAGTTTATTTGACCCCATATTTTTTGCATCATGTTAGTTCACATGTTCTTACACTTAGTAATTTTCCAGGTAGTTACTTTCCCTATCATGTTCTGTCAGAGTGAAAGAGCATTTGCTTTGCCTCTTGATGAAAGTATAAAGACAGTTACTAAACAGGCAAATTATCATTTAAACCAAAACCAGAAACATAATTTTCTATAATTTTTAAAATACCTTTTGCCTTTTTAATTATATGATAGCTTTGTAACTCAAGGAAGAAATGCTGCTTCAGCAATTTTGAGAAGAAGCGTGCCTTTATAACGTTCAATAGTTTCTGTCTTTAGGCTCTGAAATATGTTAAAATTGATGGTGTTTTTCAGCTAACCTCCCACAATATCCATATTTACCTCAAAAGAACACAATCGTGGCAGTTCTGTACAGCTTTATTCTCCTAGGAACTAATCATGCAACATGACCATTTGTGTATAGGGCTTAACAGGAAACAGAAGGTTAAGTCTTCAAATCTATAAACAGAAAGGCATCCTTGTTTAAGAATGTTCTGCAATCACACTTAAATTCATGTAAATTAAATAAATAAATAGAAAGAAGATAGATATATATAAATAAATTATAATCACGATCCTTCGTTAACATATTCCTTTAAGAGGTAATTGGTTTCAAATTGCTCTCCATAAGCCATTACTTGAAAATACTCCATACTCGAAATAGGACTCGTTCTTTGGTTTCAAGGGACTAACTTTAGAAAGCCCATTACACAGTAAAATTTGTGACAATAAATAAATACAATATCCACAAGAGCAGATGTGCATACATGTGAACACACAGCGGGTCTACCTTACATGCTCTCCCGCAGTCACTTGCCTGAGGTCAGCTTCTTTTCTCCAGCAGGAGAAGCTGCTCAGACAGTAAGACCCAGGATAGTCTCTGTTGGAAGATGGTGTTGCTCTTTGTAAATTCTCCCTGATCTGAAGGTTTCCATTCAATTAATCCTTAGAGGATATTTACATATCATCCAAAATTTTAATGTTTAGAAGGAAGGTGGTACAGTAAGGGCTGCAATTAGAAAATGCTTCTTTGCCAATAAATTCAAAGGAAGCAAGAAAAGGCAAAGAATACTAAGGATAATTTAATCTAATTTAGTTTTTCTGATTTCTCAGAGATGCTGCTGGAATTGCTGTGCCCAAATTATGCATTGGACTGGATGAACTGGGGCTTCTGTGCATTGGATATAAGTGGTTGAAAGACTTTAATGATAAAGAAAAAATATTAAGCCACTATAAAGCATGAAAATGGCTACAATTCATTCTGGAGACTGAGGCTGGATACTATTTTGCATGAATGGGTTTGCCTACTCTTAGTTACAGCCTGGTTTTGCTATTTCCATGGCAACAAAGTTCATGGCATAGGCACAGAAGTATGCATAGGTATGTCCTTGGGGCATACAAAATTCTAGTAAAACACCTTGCATTACAGCACTATGTTAAGTATGAAGATATATTATAAACACTTTTCCTGCTCTTCACAGAATATTTGAAAACCCTTTCAGATGCTACTAAGCTTTTTGAATGGGGAATGTTCAAAATGTAGCTTGTGCAGATCCTTCCTGCTGAGAAATCCTCCTGGTTGTGCTGTTTTCAGAGTTTGTGTCATGGAAAACCCAGAACAATACACTAGACAGGTACAGCCTTATCACATCATCCAGACAGCTCAGCTAGCAATCTCATTGGGAACTGATCACCAGTGTAACAAACTAGGTAACAAACAGGTCACTAAACTATATAAAACATAAACCAGAAAACAGACACTTAAGATGGAGAATTTATGTTGCTAAGCTTCCTGGAAGACATGTCTTTGGGAAGACTATCTGAGGAAATGGATGATCACAGGAGGGAACTACTGCAGAAGATATGGGGGAAACAACAAGAGAAAGATGAAAAGGAATTTGGTAAAGCTAAGTGACTAAAATAGTAAGAGCAAAATTCCTATTTTAAGAATTTACCCAGAGGCACAAATTTGTTGACAAAATACCTTAGCAAAAAATGAAGAAACTGTCAAATTGAGAAGTCAGGCAGCACAGGAATCATATGTTCAAATTCTTAGGAGCAACAGCAACCATGGTGGCCTTAAAATTTACAGTGATTTTTTTATGTAAATATGTAGAAGTTGATGATCAAAATAAAATCTATTCAATATATCCACATGAATGCATTTTGTAGCTTTATTGATAGAAGCTAATGAATATCAATGACATACCTGAAATTCAGTATCGGCCAACTGTGCTATACCATACTGAGTACTCCTTTTGCAGACAGATTGGGGGTGAGATGGGAACTTTTTCTGTAACAACAGACCTTTTAGATTGTACTTTTCATACTTGCTTTAGACTCTAGGCTGTAAATATCTATTTTATCTATAGTCAGTATGAATAAGAGCACATGAAAACTTACTTCTGTTAGATGTCATTTTCAAAGGGAGATGAATTCCTCCCTAAAAGTGCCATCTCTCTCCCATGACTGAGACCAGCCTGGGATAACTCTGCTATACAGTACTTCCATGTTTGGTGTTCTGTACTTCCACTAGAAGAGAGGTTCCTCTCACTATGAATCATATTTTCCGGGCCGTGACCAAGAGGTCACTTCTGTTTCATTTCAAGTGGACATAATTCTCTTAACACAACTAGTGAAATATAAATGTTTTGTTTTCAAAAAAAATGAAACTATCTGTGACTCAAGGATTGAACTTGCAGGTTTTATACTACAATTCTGTCCTCTCATCCAGATCACACTTTCTGAGTTTGCCTTTGAGGAGATTGTGAGAGACAGTGTTGAAAGACTTGCTGAAGCTGAGTTAGAAAATATTCACTGCTCTCTCCTCATCCATTCAGGTAGTTGTTTCATTGTAGATGGCAATCGGGTTGGTCAAGCGTGATTTACCTTTAGTCAATCCATGCTGACTACTCCTGATCACCTTCTTGTCACCCATGTGGCTAGATGGCTTCTAGAAGGAGTAGCTCCATCTTTTCCAGGGATTGAGGTGAGGCTGACTGGCTGGTAGTTCCCTCAGTCCTCCTTCTTATCCTGCTTGCAGATAGGGGTGATATTTGCTTTCTTCCCATCCTTAGGCACCTCTCCTGATTGCCGTGACCTTTCAAAAGTGATCATGAGCAGCTTCACTGTGGTTTCCAACAGCACCCATGGATGCATGCTGTCAGGGCATATGAACTTGTGGATGTCAAATTTGCCTAGGTGTTCTCCAACCCAATCCTCCTTGGCCAAGAGATGCCTGAGGGCCAGTATTGTCAGTGAAGACTGATGCAAAGAAGGCATTCAGTAACTGTCTTCTCTGCATTGAGAGCACTGGAGAAACCTGACAACCTATTTTGAAAGAGGGATTTGTTTAATAAATTGGCCTTTGTTCTTTGTGTAGTATGTTGAGTGATATGTAAATATTCTGTTCCTTGTACTTTTGCTTATACCCATACACCTATGGATATTTTGAATGCATTTAACTCACTTCAGTCAATTTTTTTTATTTCACTGTAAATAGCACAGACACATTCTCAAGTGTGAATGTGATTTGTAGCATTTTCACCTAATTCAGACGGTGGTAAATGCCATCTGTTATTTGTGAAGTTAGCACATATGTATCTGCAGACTCACAGCAGGTTAACAGTATACATCACCAGTGGTTGAATTCAAAATTTGCAAGTGCTTATGAAATCACTGGCACACACATGCCAGTACACTTCAGTTTACTTCCTAGGGGACTTTGTGCAATACTCACATTTAGGACCAGAATTCTCACTAAGAGTCAGTTAAATGTGCCCTTTTAACTCCTCCGAATGCTTTTAAAATTCCCTTTCTTTGTAAATTGCATGAAGACATCAGTATTCATTACAACTGTTTCCTCAAATGGACACAAACATAACATTCTTTTGTTTAGTGTGGATTTTAATATGTGAAGAGTAGTAGAACAAGAGAGAAGAATTGACAAACTGGATAAAACTATATTCATGTTAACGAAGTCCTGAAAATGTGTTTTTTTGGAAGATACTCACAGCACATATACATGTTAAGTGCTGCTTGTCACTGTCAGTCAGATAAATAAGTATGTATCATTTTATTACTTCTGTCCAACTCAATTCCTTCCTGGATGAAAAACTGAATATAAGCTAACAATGTGTGCTTACAGCCAGTCACAAAAAGCTAATCACACCCACTCTGCATCAGAAAAGTATGTCCAGCAGATCATGTTTTCATGGACCTCACCTGGGGCACTGCATCTAGATCTGGGGCCCCCAGCATAAGAAAGACTGATACCTTCTCGAGCCAGTCCAAAGAAGGACAGGAAGATGATCAGAGAGGGCTGGAGCACCTTTTCTGTGAAGAAAGGCTGAGA